CCCCAAAACCCCAAAACCCCAAAACCCCAAAACCCCAAAACCCCAACTTCAAGATAATTTATTGATACAAAAATATGGAAAGAAGAAGGAGAGAGATAGAAATATGGTCAAAAGAGTAAGCCTTTGGTCCACTATGTCTAGAATCTCATTGTACCAGATAATAAGCTTGACAGATCGAGTAAAGACGATCCCAGGAGATGTACAGATAGGATCCAATATAATACTTTCAAAGGGCGTCAAGCTTCCTTCAGATCTGTTTTGGAATCACAAGTCCTTGTATAGAGGTATGCTCAAGCATATCTTCATCAACAAGGGCTCTAGGAAGGAGATTCACTACATGAGAAAACTGGTTGAAGAGTCTTTCAAATCTCGCAATTTTCATCTGAGAACAGTGAATATTACCAAGTTGGACTCTATCATAGTTGATCAGGCATTATTTTGAACTCCCAAGAATTCACTCTATTTCGGTATCAGCCACCAAAGAATTATTTTTGATTTGACTGCCAGATGTGTAGGAATTCTGAACTTGAAAGAGTTCATCCTGAACCAGAAAAATCTGAGCAGGATTCTTTGGTTGTCGCAATCAGTCCAGAAATTGAATTTCTCTTCATGCTTGATTTTTAGTTCGGATTTTATTCCTGTTGTCAATAAATCTGTGAAGGAAATATTATTATATTTTTGCCATGACCAATTTAAAGGTTTTGATTTTAAGAGATCTCAGCTTTATTCTTTACTTGAATACTTTACAGATTCGTGACTTGCTTGTGGCAAAATCAATGTCCAGACTTTACTCTCTTATAAGAAAGTGAAAGAGCGACCTCTGAAGGAGAAGCATTGGAAATTCCAGCAGACAAACTCAGCCTATTATAGTCTGACGAAAGAAAGTGGAGAAGGTAGATTTTGCACAATTCAATAATTCTTTGTTTATTTGTTGAAGATCATTTCTCATAAGTTGCTTGACAATCTTCTCAATGCGATCGAATTGGGACCCTCTGGATCTTTTATTTATTGAAAGTAGGAACTCCATAGAGTTCTAGCCTAAACCCATGGGATTTATTATTTGGGATCTTAGGCTGGGAGTTTAAATTTCAACTAAATATACACTCCATGGGGTTTTGGGGTTTTGGGGTTTTGGGG